ACAGCCAGAGGAGGGGCAGAGACAGAAGGAAGGCGTCCAAGAGGAAAGGACCCTGAGCGGTCCATGGACCAGCGACAGGAAAGCCTCGTAAGGTAAGGGGCCGCTGATCTCAGAGACACACGCCAGGCGTGGGTTCCTCTTCACCGTGCTTTATACCAGGGACAGGTTCTTCAGGTCAAAAGCAGCACAGACAGGACCCCACGGTCAAGGGAGGTTACACTTTCAGCATCAGCAGCTCACCCCCTGACTTCTTGTTCGGTCACGAGGTTTAGTGAAAGCCTCTCCAGAGGGCCTCCAACCCACATGGTTTAAAAGAAAATGCAGAAGGGAGATCTTGAGCATGTGGGAAGCTGCTGCTGTCTCCTCTCTCCCCTTTGGGACATGGAGAAGTCCCGCACCCCGTGTGAACATGAGGGCCTCCGTGGCCACCTCCGCTTCCTTCTTTCCATTTCGCGTCTCTCCCACAGCTCCCTCCCATGGAGGACTTCTCTGTCTGGTGCCCAGTGGCTCTCTGCTCCCCCCACAAGGAGCTTGCAAGGTTTCTAGCAACTTCCAGGCCACTGATTCCTTCTGGAAAGTTCAGATGGACGGCCAAGTTCCACATAAAGGAACTGGTTATTCATAACGGCTAGGCTCTGCTCTGAGCTTTGCATTTAATTTCTCATCTTTTTTTTTTTTTTCACAAAACTGCTATGTTTGACCCCACCCTCCCATTATAAAGAGGAAAGGCCTGGAGAGTTCAAAATTTACCCTACTGATTTTTACATGGTGGCAGCCAAGATTCCAACCTAGACGGGTAACTTCTGTCTTAACCTGAACATTTCCCATGAGTGAGCAGGCCTTCCATGAGCTGTGAGAAGTTAGTTCCCAGAAATAAGCTTGATGGCCCAGGCATCCTCTTGAGAACCAACCTGGGAGTCAAGGGCACTCAGGCTGCAGGCAGGCAGGGAATTTGCACATGGATCTTAGAGAGCGCTGCCTGGAAGGCTGGTGAGGGCGGGGACTGGTGATGCTCAGATAGCCCTGCCGTGACTCCCCGCACCGGCTCCAGGGCTGGCTTCCCTCATCCACTCACTCTGGTCAAGGCTACGGTCTCTCCAGTGGTCATGCACGGTGTGAGAGCTGGAGCATAAAGAAGGCTGAGCGCCAAAGAACTGATGCTTTCCGATCGTGATGCTGGAGAAGAGTCTTGAGAGTTCCTCAGACAGTAAGTAGATCAAACGAATCCATCTTAAAGGAAATCAATCCTGAATAGTCATTGGAAGGACTGATGCTGAAGGTCCAATGCTTTGGCCACCTGATGCTAAGAGCCGACTCAGTGGAAAAGACATTAATGCTGGGAAGGATTGAAGGCAGGAGAAGGGGACAACAGAGGATGAGATGGTTGGATGGCATCACCGACCCAATGGACGTGAGTTTGAACGAGCTCTGGGAGATGGTGGAGGACAGGGAGGCCTGTCATGCAATAGCCCACCTGGTCACAAAGGGTCAGACATGACTGAACAAATGAACCACACCCACTCGTGTGCAACACCCTCCTGCATCCATTGTTGGCCTCTGTGGGAGGATCCACAGAGAAGCCCTCACTTGTCTTGTGAAGGTATCTTATTGCTAAATTCAAGAGGAAGAGAGGGGAAAAAGGGGAAATGAAGACATCCGTGGTTTAAAACTTAACTCTTCCCCTGAAACTGGGAATGAGTGTGTTGTTTATGTTGAAACTTCAGCCTGGCTTAGCTCACACGACACCATCTATCAAAATTCCTAGCTTGCAGAGTCATCCTGCCAGACTCAATTATGGAGTTAATTCCACCCTAACTGGAAACAGAGCTTTTGGTTCATTTCCTCTCCAACCTCTCTGGGGATGCGTTCGATACAATTCCAGGGCGTCCAAGTTCAGGCCAGTTCGGTCGGAATCAATGGGCGTTTTCTGGCTCATCTTCTGTGGTGTAAAGACACACACACACATTCACACACACCACACACTCACACATGTGCTTCTGTGTTCCCCCACAGCACACACACGCACACCCACCCACACTAAAATGCAGGTGTGCACACCCACACTCATGCACACACACATACACAGAAGCCCTGCTCCCCTCTGACATCTGGTGGCACATTTTCAGGAAGGTGGGCTCCTGCACTTCCTCATCATTTGCAGGCCATATTGTTGACCTCTGGCCTTTCTCCCAAGCTGTTTTCGTAGATTGCTGCCTTCATTCTCTCCCTGTTGCAAAAGTCCTGTTTCGATGAGCAGGGTCTGACAAGAACAGAACACCGTGTCTTCAATGAGCTCACCACAGACTTATTACAACACCGCTATCATCAGATCGCTTCCTCAGACTGAAAGAATTCCTGCCAGTTCTGATACGCCACTGAGTTGTGGTTTAACTCCTCATGCTGAGAACACCACGGGGAGTCAGACAGAGTGACCCTCGTGTTCTCTTTATGCAGCGCAGGTAGAGACCACCTTTGCAGAAACAGATGCAATGTCATGCTGATATTCTCATTCATTAGCTTCAAGGTAATGTTGGCAAAGTTTTCTGCTTTTTGTTCAACTGGCTATGTTTGGTAAAACTGCATAAAAGAATCATTTTTTGTAGGTGACAGTCACTGAATCATCAATTTATGTCTTATCACTAAAGATAAGAGTCTACGGTTGGAAATGTCAGGAGAGTATGACTTTTGACTTTATTGTAAGACAGTCAGCTTAAGCATGCAAGCTTCGTGCTAAGTCTTTTCAATTATGTCTGACCCCATGGACTGTAGCCCACCAGGCTCTTCTGTCCATGGGATTCTCCAGGCAAGAACACTGGAGTGGGTTGCCATGCCCTCCTCCAGGAGATCTTCCTGACCCAAGGATTGAACTGTGTCTCCCACAGCTCCTACGTTGCAGGCAGATTCTTTACCACCGAGCCACTGCTGCTGCTGCTGCTGAGTCGCTTCAGTCGTGTCCGACTCTGTGCGACCCCATAGACGGCAGCCCACCAGGCTCCTCCGTCCCTGGGCTTTTCCAGGCAAGAGTACTAGAGGGGGCTGTCATTGCCTTCTCCAACCACCAAGCCACTAGGGAAGCCGATGAGTTTAACAGAAAGCATACAACTTTAAAATGTTTTCAGTGAGTTAAAAACTCTGGTCATTTTCAAAAACAAGAATATATAAATACGCCAACTTTCTATGCAAGGGCACTTACATTTAATAACAACACAAATGTACTTTATTATTTATTTATTTGCCTGTACCGTGTGGCGTGTGGGATCTTAGGTCCTTGACCAAGCATTGAACCCCTGCCACCTGCAGGAGAAGCATGGAATCTTAACCACTGGATGGCCAGGGGAGTCCCAAGCATGTACTTCAGTAGAATATACAAAAGTACAGTATGTATTTTGAGCAGAGATTCTTCTAGCGAGAGAACAGTATGTTTAATTGTATCAGGTTCTTGAGATGTTAATAAAATATGACAATGTGGTCATACAAGGTAAAATACATTTCTGAACAGGAAAAGCACTTTTGTAAGTTATAAGTAGTGTTATCATCAGAGACACAGAAAGAGAAATTAAATAGGAACCACAGAGAGAGCAGATGCATAGAACTATAATTTAATGGAGAAAATGGTAGTTTTGTCTTTCTTGGATGAACATGAACCATTTTGATTCTAAATGTTGCTCCATCCCCAGATCGCGTGTGAGCTTTTCTTATAACTGGGGAAGTGTGTAGCCTTTTCAGCCCCTACTCTTCAGGTACATGGTTGCTCACAAGGTCAGGTTATCTGAGGAAGCGCCAGAGCTCAGAGTTGGTCGTTGAGATGGGTCAGTGGTTACAGGACACACTTCAGGGCTCCTCCAGGACAGAGGGACACAGAGCCTCAGCTTCTAGACTGCGGGGAGGAGACCTTAGCTGCATCTGCATCATTGCTTTTCTGAGAGGGGAAGTCAAGTTGTCACTTAGCTGGGCAGGCCTCTTTCTGACACTAACTGCACAGTCACATCCCCACGTCATGGGGCTCCAGGTGGGGTGTTGACATTTGTGGACCTTGGGTTCTGACTCCTGGCATTCAGAGTTCTTCTTATGACTGGGGCTGAGCTAGTAAGCCTGAGAACTGTTTTCCTTCTGTTGGAATCATGACAACCTCTCCTCCGTAGAGCGGACGAAGGTGAAAGTGAAACTTGCTCAGTCGTGTCCAACTGTTTGCAACTCCATGGACTGCAGCCCACCAGGCTCCTGTGTCCGTGGGATTCTCCAGGCAAGAGCACTGGAGCGGGTTGCCATGACCTTCTCCAGGGGGTCTTCCCTACCCAGGGATCGAACCGGGGCCTCCTGCCTTGCAGGCAGATGTGGGAGTTAAATTAGCCAGTTCTTGCAAAGCTCTCAGCAGCCAGCCCGTCGCCTGTGGCCTCGCCAGTCAGCGTTTTCTGGGGACACGGCTGCCGCTGAATTGCTCTCTGTGCTGGGACCTTTAACCCCGTATCTCGGGCCTCTGGCAATAAGGAAACACTCCGTTTCCGGCTCGGGAGCGAAAACCAGGACTCCAACTTTATGACAGGAAATACAATCCAAACAGTGCGATTTCTTTTCCCCAGGCTCAAGTTTCCTCCTCGAGATCACCGAGGGGGCTTTGCCGCGTGCCGGCGGGCACTTAAAACACGGATTCCCAGAGGCCGGGCGTGACAGTGCCCTGCGGCTCCCGTAATGGGTGTCCCCTGGATGTCAGGATTCTCTCACCCAGGAGAGTGACCCAGGTGGGGCCCCCAGACCGCAGCTCCGTCCCTTTCTCTCCAGGGGACACGTCCCTCATCAGGTCAGAGGGGGCGTGCGGACCTCACAGCTCACGGCGCTCACCGCGGTGTGCCGCGTTTCCGCGCTGCAGGGCGCGTTCCAAATTCTTCTCCTAACCCCTCCAGTGGGTGTGCAGGCCACGAAACGAAGACAGCCAGCGCCGGCGGGTGTGCAGGGCTTATTTCCTTGCAGCCTGGCCGGGCTTAACTACTAGGCTCCGAACTTCAGCGGAACAGGGTGGACGAACCGGTTCCCCACAGAACCGGCCATCGCATCTCGTTAGACGTGCGCTGGTCGTGAGCGTGGACAGCCGCTGAGCAGGAAGGGCTGGGGGCACCTTCCGCCCCCCACCCCCCGGGCCACGGGTCCCGTAACAAGTAAAACCGCGCGGGCAGCAGTGTCTCCTCGCGGAGGCCCTGCTGGCATCTTGCGCATCTCCGCAGTTTCTCCGACCCCCGCGGGGCTCGGGTGGCGCGTCGCTGCTCTGTAAGTTCCCTGGACATGATTTCATATCCACTTCTGCCTTTTGAAGCGTCTGGCTTCCAGTCGTCCAGAGCCCCATCTGCGTGAACTTTCTTCCAGGAGTGTGAACAACTTCCCCAAGATCGGCCGTCCCAGAGCCTTGGGGACCCAGCCTGGGCCCCCAGGCTCAGCCCTTTGGATTTAGTCTGGGTTAATGTTTCCATGATGCTCAGACCTGGCAGGCGGCCAGGAGAGGAAATGTGCAACCCGGGCGAAGAGCGGGAGCTCAGATGGTTCACCTCCTCCTCTCATCAATACTTTAAGGAAGTATTCATTTCCTCTTTTTTAAATTTCCTCTGGGAAGGTTAAAAATGGAAGACTTTATTGGAGCTTGGCTTCTGAATTTGTTGTTACCTGCATATGCAGACCTCAGTTTACCTGCTCACAAGGCACTTGTCACCTTTGTCAGGAAGATTTTTATAGGTTCCAACATTCAGCTTGGATAAAATTGCCAAAATCAGGGAGGCGAGCCTGTGTTCATCCATACTCGTGTAAAGGAGATTTTTTTGGCTGCCGTCACAAGTTCTTAAATGTTATTGGATAAATGAATGATACACCCCCATAGCCATACCACCGCTATGACTGGAGGCAGACTCCATCCACATTCTGAATGTTTATTTCAAATATCTATCTGCTGAGAACTTTTCTTTAAATAACATTTATATCTTGGAATAATTTTAGATTTTCAGAAAAGTTGCATGCATGTCCCAGAGAACTTTCCTAGTGTTAATGTTTTATGTAACCATGATGCATTTTGTAATACCCTGAAATTAACATTGCTGTAATACTTTTAATTACAGACTTTATTCAGATTTCACCATTTTTCAAACCAATGTTGTTTTTCTCTTCCAGGATTTAATTCAGGATACTGTATCATATTTAGAAGCGGTTGGAGGTTTTTTTCTCCCTCATAAAATCAAACAAGCCAAACTTCTACTAAGAAAATAACAACTGATCAAATTTATTGGGAGTTGGAAGCATTATTCTATGAAGGGCCAGATAGTACAGTTTAGGCTTTGTAACCACGGATATTTGCAAAAGTAGCCACAGACAACAGTGAAACAAGTGAGGACAGCTGTATTCCAATAAAACTTTATTTGCAAAACATGAGGTGCTCATATTTCTTAGGCAAGAGTTTTCCAGCCTCTGATTTTATTGAGCCATGATTTAACACTAAACGCGGTGTAATAGTCACTAAAACCTCCCTTCTGTCACTGTTACCAAAGCACGTGGAGTTCTCCTGTGCCCTGGAGTGAGCTACATACAGCCCCCTCTCCTGTCTTCTAGACTGAAGGTGGCAGAATTCTCTTGACTAAAGATGCCTCTGTCTACTTTAACCTACACTCAGAAATCCTCTACTGGAATGCTAAGAGAACAACCACTATACAAATTTAAATTGCCAGTTAATGATCATTATCTTGCAATAAGGGTTGTGTTACTATCCGCTTGGCTGGAGGGGAGAGGCTTTTGAAAACTGGTGAATCTTGTCAATCAATTCCATTTAACTGAAATTTATTTTTGTAAGATTCATTCACCTTTCGTGTAGTTATGTTTGGAGATTACTTCTTTGAAAAGTGAGCTGTTCATTCTGAGTTGTTCACCTTTCTGGGGGGCGTTTTTAGGCTCAGGCAGGAACTGAGTGAGCGGTATGGTGTCCCCGTGAGTCCCTTGCTCCCACAACTGCCCAGCTTCCCTCACTGGGTCATCCTGACTGGTCCATGGGGCCCAGATACTGGTCAAACAGTATCCTGGGTGTGTCTGTGAGGATGCTTTGAGTGGGATTAGCATCTGAATTGCTAACTAAGTAAGGCAGATTGCTCTCCCCAGGGTAGGTGTGGGCCTCACCCAGTCAGTTGCAGACCTGAATAGAAAAAAAAGCTGACCCTTCCCAAGTAAGAGAGAATCCCCCCCAACCTAACTGGTTGTTCTCTGGGACATTGGCTTTCCCTGGGGCTCAAGCAGTAGCTTTTAATTTTAATGGAGTCCACCGGATGCCCTGTTTCTTTCTTGGATTCTGTTTTTAGTGATGTCATCACCAAATCCAGACTCATCGAGATTTGCTCCTGGGTCATCTTCTGGGCGTGCATGGCTTTGCATTTTGCGCTTACTTCTATCATCTGTTTTGAGTTAATTTTTGTGAAGTTTGTAGGGCCTGTGTCTAGCTTTATTTTTTTGCATATGGATGGCCAGTTGCTTCAGGATGTTCATTTGTTGAAGAGACTGTCTTTTCTCCATTGATTTCCCTTGGTTCTTTTTTTCAAAAATCACTTGTCTTTATTTGTATGGGTCTATTTCTAGGTTATCTATTCTATTTCATTGATCTATTTTGTCTGTTCTTTTGCCAGTCCTGTACTGTCATAATCATTTTAGTTCTACAGTAAATCCTGAAGTTGAGTACATTAGTATTCTGACTTTTTTCTTCTTGAATATTGGGATGCTATTCTGGGTTTATTAACCTTTTAAATTTTTGAAAGATTTTCAGGTGTGGATTCTTCACAACTCTCTCTCTTTTTGTGTATGTAGATAAAAATGCATATGGTTTTTAATTAATACATATAAATTCCTTGGAAATCATTACTTATTTTCTAGGCCCTGAGCCCTCCAGCTATTCTGAGCTTCCTGGGAATACACCTAGAGCTTGATTTTATCTCACTTATTCTGTCAGGGACGCAAGTGCACAGTGCTGTTTTTGGTTGTTTTTTAAAAAAGTTACTGAAAGCTTTTAATGCTTCAGCTACATCCGTAGAAGCCACAGTTTGAGGTGTAGAGAGTCCTTCACATAGCTGTGGAAAATGAATTTCCCAGAGTTACAAGGTGTGGTTTTGGCATGTTCAGTAAAAAAAAAAAAAACAACAATAGTAAAAAGGAATTTCTAAGAACATTCCTTTACCTGTGAGTAATCTTGTTTTATTTCCTGCTTGACCTGCGTAAAAGGAATTCACCCTCCTGGGAACACCCCGAGGTTTCAGGAGACCCTGCGGAAATTGTGGTTTACGACAGCGCTGAGAAGCCTTGGCGAGCGTGGCCGTTACAGAAGCAGCAGTGGACCGCTCCGCTTTGTGGCTGCAGCCGGCTTGCGCTCCCCTCCCGCTGCCTTGTCGGGAGTTTTCTGGGCCCACGAGTGTGACTGGGGGAGTCAAGCGGGCCAGACAACGCCAGTGCTAGAGGGCCAGCATAACCTTCTCTGGGGCGGAGCTTGATAGAGCGACTGGTGCCGTCATTATTAGGAAATTGGAGACTGGCCACTTTGAAATTTGTGTTTTATTTAGAATCCGTGATCTTTATCTTTTTTTAAAAAAACATTTTGGGAATCTCCTGGCAGTTATAGATTGAGTCCTTGGAAAAATACTGTTATACAAAACTTTGCTTTTAATTTTTAAGAGATTCAAAGATGTTCTGCATCTCAGGATGAGAACTTATCTTTTAAAATCTCATTCTTGAACTTACTTTTTGAAAGGTGTATACCATGTGTTGGAGAAGGAAATGGCAGCCCACTGCAGTGTTCCTGCCTGGGAAATCCCGTGGACAGAGGAGCCTGGCGGGCTACAGTCCGTGGGGTCGCAGAAAACTCAGACGAGGCTGAGTGGCAGAGCGCGTACCACATGCACCATATAATTTCTTCTAACTCATGTTTCCTGGATGGATACTCCCTTTACTATAACAATTTTGTTTCAGTGCTATAAACCGAGAGTGAGCCAACTGTGGCCCCTGGCTCTGATATGGGCACCCACCTGTGCTTGTAAATAAAATTTTATTGGGACAGGGCCTGACTGCTTGTGTATGCATTGCCTACCACTGCTTTCATGCTATAAAAGCAAAGTGAATAGTTGAGAATGAGGTCACACAGCCTGAAAAACGGAAATATTTACTATTTGGACCTTTTTGGAGAAAACTGGCTGACTCGTGCTATCAAGAGTGAAATTTGGGACGATGGAATGTGTGGCTTTTTATTTGATTCATGTCAATAATAAACTGTATTTGAAGTATTCTCCAGATCACACGAGCTTGATATTCATGTAGCAGGATGCTTAACGAGACTTGCCCTGTTATCTCAGAATCTGGGCCAAGCCTGCAAGCTGAGACAATGATCGCTCACCTCCCAGGCTGAGAAAAACACCCCCCCCCACCCCTGCCCCACCAGAGACCTGCTGTGGTTCCACTCAACCTTGCCCATCGGGTTCATCTCTGCACTCCCTGCCCTCGAACACACTGTTGAGAAAACAAATGAGTCGGTTCTAAAGGTTGCCATTACTCCATGCTAATGGAGTATCATGTGTGTTTACCTTCTTCACTGGCCTGCCAAGAGAATCCAGTAAGGGTCTGTCTCATAGCACCCAGCTCTCACTCTTAGCCATTGCTCCTGCCTCTACTTCTTATATAAAAATCAGGAACTCAGGGGAAATGGAAGGTGGTTTTGAGAGTTGCATTCACTCATTTCTGCAGCCAGCATCCCGTGGGGCGGCTTTCCCACGCACTGCTCTGAACGCAGCACAGAAGTCAAAAGACAAATCAGACCACGTGATGGTCTTGCAGCTGGTGGCCAAGGCTGGACCTCAGGTCCTGCCTGTGAGCCGGCCTCCCTGGGCACCATCATTTCTTCTGACCAAGCATCAGGATGGGGGCAGCCCTGCAGGCTGGATTTGCTCCAGTCAACTGAGGAAGGAAAGTCCAAACTTAAAAGTTCTGTGCATTGGGATTCACTCATCTTTTTCAGAATCAGTTCACCAGAGTGTAACGGCATCTGAATGAACAAGGCCAAGTGAGAAGTGACTCCACCTTCTTGGTCAGTTTGCATCTCTTTGGTGGGAGAGGATGGGGAATGCAGAAAGCCATTCCCCACCCTTTCTTTCCCCATTGCAACCTGTCTGCGGGAGGGTCCACCCTGTGCAGCCCTGAGTCTGACCCGAGGGGAGCTGGGCTGGGGATCCCTCCCTGGAGCATCAGAGGGCGCACATCTGCTGGGAGGAGTGCTCCAAAGACGTGCCCTCCCCAGCCTCTTTCCAGCACTTTGTGAGAGCCCCAGAGCCCCTCTCTCTGACCCTTTTCGTAGCTCAGGAAGCACTGGGGGGCGCTGGGCAGGATGGCACAGTCTCTCACCCCTCTCGGGAGGAGGAGGAGCTGTCAGAGCCTCATCTGCAACCTGCAAGAGGCAGACGGTTTGGCTTAACGCTCCGAGGTAGTGCACACACTGGCTCCCAGACACGTGCTGATGGCTCCAGCCATTCTGCTGGACAGACATCTGGCTGACTCTCAAACACAGGTGCCAAATAGCCTTCAGGAGCATCCACCTAAGGTAGACCGTGGGTCCCTGGGAAAACGCTCTGTGCCCGGCGGGGTTGTCTTCTCCACGGAAATAGCTACGTGGGGCCGTTCCCCCTGCAGAAGGCGGGACAGTTCCCACAGTGAGCGGTGCTGAGATGCTACGGGTCTGTTTTTGTGTTAAAATCTGTAAACGGAATTACAGACGTAGAGAACAGACCGATGGTTACCGGGGGAGATGGGGGGATTTGGGGGAGGGTGGGGTCAGCGGACGCAAGCTTTTGCCTGTAGAATGGATAAGCAACAAGGTCCGACTGTGGAGCACAGGGAGCTATACTCAGGACCCTGTATAAGTGAAGGTGCTCAGTCGTGTACGACTCTGCGACCCCGTGAACTGTAGCCTACCAGTCAACTCCGTCCATGGAATTTTCCAGGCAACAGTACTGGAGTGCGTTGCCATTTCCTTCTCTAGGGATCTTCCCAACCCAGGGATCGGATCGAACCCAGGTCTCCTGCATTACAGGCAGACGTTTTACCATCTGAGCCCCCGGGGAAGCCATTCTATATAAACCACATGGAAAAAATATTTCAGAAAGGGGTGTGTGTATGTATGACTGAATGACTTCACTATGCGGCAGGAATTAATACAGCATCGTAAAACAACTACACTTCAATAGATCTTTTGAAAAAGTGGTATGTCATTTATTAACAACACTGCACTCAGAGCCCCTAAGATAGGTAGATATCCCTTTATCTACCCATCAACAGGACGTTTCCTTCCTGCTTGTGATGGAACATGCCTGACAGTGCTTGTCACCTGGCACCCACATCACATCACGTGTCCTTCCCCCCTCCCCGCCTCCTAACCCACGTCCAAGGGCAGGTGTGGCCGCCAGCATTGAATTTCACACCCTTCAGGTCTCCATGGGAAGAGGCTGACCTTTCCTTTCATAGGGAAACGTGGGATCATCTCAGTTTTAAGAGCAGGAAGATCGTGGCTCATTGGAAACTGGAACGAGAATTTCAAACGCTCTCCACGCACCTCATCTTAAAAACGGGACGAGGAAGTCATGTATTTAGTAGAACATGCATCTCCAACAAGGCAATGTGGTTCCCAGGAGGTGAAAACTGATCTTGGATGGACAGAAAGCCCCTGAGATATGGCCACCGTCTGTGGGCCTTCAAATGACCACAGTATACAGCACATGTGGCGTATCTGTGACAAGAACAGGTCACGGGAAGGGGTTAGGAAGGACACGTCTAAAAACTCTTTCAGGGGTGGACAAGAAAATGTTTGAGGGACACCCACGCAGAGAGGAAATATTGCAGCAAGAATGAAGTCTGCAGGCAAAGTCACAGGGTTCCCTCTTTTATTCCAGAAACAGGCTAACTAGGGACTAAGACACTTAATGGTTTACATAACACTCTTGGGAGACCTGTTCCTGTGACCAGGTTTGATTCCTGGTGGGGAACTAAGATCCTGCGTGCTGTGTCATGAGGCCAAAAAAAAAGAAAAAAGATGCTGCCTGTTTTCTTCAAATTGAGGATTTGGACCAACCCTGCCTCTATCAAGTCTCTCAGTGCTGTTTTTCCAATAGTATTTGCTCACTTGGTGTCTCTGCATCATCTTTTAGTAATTCGTGCAATATTTCAAACTTTTTCAATATTATTATTGTGTTTGTTACGGCGATCTATGATCTCTGATCTCTGATGTTACAACTGCACCTTGCAGGCTTCCTCCGTGGCTCAGTGGTAAAGAATTCACCTGCAATGCAGAAGGCATAGGAGACTCAGGTTTGATCCCTCAGTCGGGACGATCCCCTGGAGGAGGGCATGCCAACCCACTCCAGTGTTCTTGCCGGAGAATCCCATGGACAGAGGAACCTAGTGGGCTACAGTCCGTTGGTTGCAAAGAATTGGACATGAAGCAAGTGAGCATGCACATGCACTATACTCTGCTGAAGGTTCAGATGGTGGTTAGCATTTTCAAGCAATAAAGTATTTTTTAATAAGTATGTACGTGTTTTTTAGATACGATGCTATTATACACCTACTAGGTGGCTGTCCCTTGTAAATGAAGCTTTTATATGCAACAGGAAAGCAAAACATTTGTGTGATTCACTATATTGTGGTATTTATTTTATTGTGAAGTTGGCTTTATTGTAGTGGTCTGGAACTGAACACCCATATATATCTGAAGGTGTGCCTGCAGTTGGTTTGCAAGGCTGCGGAACACCGTTTTCTCAGGCTCAACCCTGGAGAGGACAAACATGGGATGATATTCCTGGTGACAGAGTGTTTGGTGCAGAGCTGGCAGCTCTGGGCGAGGAAGGACCTTCCCCCCTAAGGTAGGTCAGCAAGTCGCTCAGTGAGATGGCCCCGCTGAGGAGGACGGTGCTCGCCGGGGCCCCGAGGCCAGGCTGTCTGGGCCCCGCTGACGCCGTGGGACAGCGGTGCCCCCCATCCCCGGGGCAGCCCCTCCTCCGGACCCCGTCCGCCTCCTCCTGGTCACAGGCACTTCTGAGGCCCCCAGCCTGCCTGCTGCTGGCCTGTCCCGGATGGTCAGGCTGTGTCCCAGCAGCATCCAAATTCAGGGCTCACTTTCCAAGCCGGGTATGGAAGCAACTCCTCCTTTTCCTCACCGTGCCTTTTATATGCGACGTGTAATCGATCTAATGTCTTCGCTTCCTACAGCTCTCTGTCTCTAGGAACTCTGGGAAATGCACCCGAGTCTTGCTTGGGGGGTATTTGAAGGGTCTCGCCTGCTGGGCCCCTGCTCTCCTGAGGTGTCAGGACAAGCCTGCCCTGGGAAACCTCCCATCTGCTGGGCCTTTAGAAGGCGCAAATAAACTGCACTGCTTTCTTTTG